AGCATTAATGCTGTTTATTAGCAACGATTAAAACGTATCTAAGTTCAACCTGTACAAATTTGAGATTTCTGAAAAAATTCTGAGAACACAAAATTTTGTTCGATAATTAAGTAAGTATAAAAATTTGTTGAAAGAGAAAACTTCAGAAGACCCTAGAAACGATCAGGCCCTTCTAACTTTATTGTTACAAATTGGTCGCATTTCTGTGATCCTTTTCCAAGTTTTTCTTTTCTCCCAACAAACTTCTTTTCTAACTTGGCTGCACCGTACTGATGATGACCAAATAGTCGAAATACCTATTTATGGTTAAAACCTTTCATCGATATAACTATTTCGTGTTTTTTCCTCTTTGCGAGATTATATTGTTGATGATATTTCTGATAAATTAAAGGATTTAGTACGAACTAGAGTAACCAATATCATAACCAAGTATGTAAACCACACTGCAGTGAACAAACCAAACCAATTTAACATGTTGTTTGAACAACAAGTTTTTAAAATCAAATTTAGATCTGTTCATTCTAAAATAAAAGAGAGGTGGGTGTATTGTTGTGGATAAATCAAAAAATATTCTTCAGATTCTTCTTCTTACAGTTACTTAAACACAGTAAGAATGTGAGCTAAATACAATAATGTTATTAAGAATCTCAAATCCAAAGGTGTGATAGACACTAATGTAGCTAAACACCTGTTGATTTATTGATTTACAACTCAATGTTTTCAAAGTTATACTGCCTAGCAGAAATTCACAAAAGTTATATTCCTCTTTACCCTATCATCAGCTCGAGCAACTCCACCACTTACAATTTCTTTAAATACTTGGCTAACCTTCTAACTGTTACTTCTGAAGATCAAACCAAATACAATGGGAAAGATACATTTACCTTTGTTGAAAAATCGGGAATGTTACAATCCTTCAAACATATGTGCTTAGATCCCTAGATGCGATATTGCTTTTCACAAATATTTCTCTTAAACTGATCATTAAAATTTTAGAACAAAATTGGGGTTTAGTAAAACCAAATATAACACTAAGTAAGAATAATTACTTCAAGCTGATCGACTTTTTTTATTATGCACTTTTTCTTTGGTGGGCCTTTACTCACAAATCTTTGGCACTCCCATGGGCTTCCGATCACGATATAGTAATTTCACGACTATCGTTAAAAATATCTATATACAAATATGTGAATTATGTGATAAATGCGACTCCCGAGGACCGTATTCAAACTAAACTGGACACCATCAATGGATTTCACAAACACCTACAATTTACCAGTAAGGTTGAGCAAGAAAGTATTCCTTTTTAAACACAGATGAAAAGAACATTAAAAAATAAGATCTTTTGGTTTGGTATTAGAAACTAACTGCGGAAGATTTATGTATTACTTCTCTCAGCATTCAAAAAAACCCAAAATATAACACTGCTGTTGCGATGAAAACAGAATTTTGCACATTAGTAATGATATTTTCATACAACAGATTTTATGAACATTAAAAAAACGGATGTGGCAATCCAGTGGGACTGCGGGTAGAAGTTATACTTTTCTATACACGCGTTCGCCGTTACAAATTTATATGGGAGTCAATCTGCACAATCATTACATATGTAATGCTATAGGTAAGAGAGAGCAGAAAGAGAAACAGAATTAGGTATATAGGTATATGGTGCATCGTTTGCTGTATATAAACATTTGACCTGTAATAGAAGTATAGTAAATGCAGGATTGTATCAATATTTTAATGAAAATATATATTTTAGTTTTCAGATATGTATAAAAGGATTTGAATGCAAAAAAAATTTTTTACACATACTCTGCAATAAAATTCATTATTTATTTTGTTATTAATATAAAAATTACAATACAGTAAATACACTGCAACATAATTCAATATAATAATACAATATAAATTAAAATGTAATATTCAGAAGTATTTAAAAATACTTCTGAAATATTACATTTTAATTTATTATATCTATTAAAAATGCATAACTAATAATATCTATTAAAAATACATAACTTACTTTACGAAGATAAAAATAAAAAACCAACAACTCAGATTATGTTGTAAATTTTCATTTTATTTTAAAATTTAGCATTTTTGCGTATATTACATATATTTAATAAGATTAACGTTTTTAAATATTTCAAAAATAAAAAAAGAAATTCATAATTGGAATTCGAACTCACAAACACCAGCGTAGGAACCAAACACTTAAAGGATTTGCCAATTGGACATGACACTAACGGATTTTAAAATTGACAGTTCTCGGTCAAACAGTGATTATTTTGAAATAAAAAAGCCTAAAATAATTATAAACATTTAATAAATAATACAAAACATTTCATATAAATAATAATATTATTACATATTATAATATATATATATATATATATATATATATATATATATATATATAACATTATATAATAATAATATATATATATATATATATATATATACAATATTATATAATATAATATTATATATAATATATACAATATTGAATATATATTATATAAAAGGAGCATTTTTATTCTCGAGAGAGGAAGAGAGAGAAAATATATCTTCTGTCTCTCTTACTCATTATCTTACATATATAATGGTTTCACAGATTCACTCCCATGCAAATTTCCAACGCCGACTGTGCGTATAGAAGTATAACTTAAAAAATTTAAATAACGGCTATCTTAGTAAAGTTCTCAAGCAACTAATCAGTTCTCTACAGTTCTCTACAACTCAGGGTTATATGACCGGCAATGTGATAATAGACCAACAGGACCGGTGATTTACAAAAAGTTACCCCCACGTCGATGGCTTAACTAACAATATTATTAAGCTACTGAGTGGAATTCATGTAATCAAAATAGCTAACTATGACAGCATAGGTATCCAATTACAGCTTATTCTCGAAGCTTAAAGACCAGACACCGCTTCTAAATCAAAGTCATCTCATCGATAAACTTTTTGTCTCTGATGTAATGGACAACATACAAGCCAAACATTGCAGTGGTTAAAATAAAGAATAATGGAGCATAAAAGTGATTGCAACACAGAGAAAAATGCTTGTGAACAAAACACACATTTAATTTATCTGTCAAGATCTAGTATACAGGGTGAGTGAGGAGGAACGCACCAAACTTTAAGACTGTATAATATACGTAAAAATAAGTAAAAATAACTCATATGTTGTTATTCGATTTTCATTTGTTTTCGAGTTATAGCGATAATAACACAAAGTTGTAACTTAACATTAATTTAATGTTAAATGTTCTTATAATAAATTTTCAAAAATACCACCATTGACCTGTAAGCATTTTCTGCTTTGACTATGAACATTCAACGTTGCTCTTCTGATTGCGTCATGGTTTGCTCTAATTGTGGCTGCAACATTTTTAATGCGTCGAATTAGTGCATCGCGAGTGTCGACTTTTACCTTGTAAACTTCATTTTTAAACCAGCCCCATAAAAAATAGTCTAATGGTGTTAGGTCTGGAGACCTCGGAGGCCAACTAATAGGACCATTGCGACCAATCCAACGCCTTGGAAATTTTGTATTTAAATGTTGCCTGACCTGACGAGCAAAATGTGCATAGCTCCGTCGTGCTGATAATACATTTGCATTCTGATATTTAGTGGAATGTTCTGTAGGAGTTCTGGCAATTCATTCTGTAAAAAATTCAAGTACTCCTCTCCTGTAAGGCGGTTCTCAAATATGAAAGCGCCGATTAAATAACCATCGATCACACCACACCACACGTTTACCGAAAATTTGTGCTGAAAACTAGCTTCAATTCTTGCATGTGGATTTTCATCTGAACATACATGTGAGTTGCGGCTCTGGTAAATGTTGCTTCATCGGTAAAAAGTATGCGGGATATAACACGACGATTATTATTTATCAATCAACAAAATTGCATACGGCTGGCATAATTTTCTGGTTGTAGGTGCTGTACACGTTTTATGGATATAAACCTTGCTCGTGAAGTGTGTTAATTACTCTCGTTTGAGAAATGGCTAAATGAGTACCGATTCTTCGTGAGCTGATCCCTGGATCATCTTCTACTGAATCCAGAATATTTTGTATTTTTTGTAAACTTTGTCGGGGAGCACGTTCCGATATTATTTTATAACTAGGAAGCGTTCCGGTCTCGCATAGTTTGTTGAAAACTCTAATAAATACATTTTTATCTGGAGTTCTCCGATTTGGAAACCGTTGACGATATTCTTCAACAGCAGCTCTACCGTTTCCATTACAAAAGCCATAAACAAACACCATATTTGCATAATCACTATTTGAATAAGTATGTGGCATTTTGCAACAACTTTTTTCTATACAAACTGTCAAATAGACATTAAATCACGTTGACACTACACTATTATGACAGTTAACTAATTATTAAACAAATCACAGATACCTGTTACAGCAATGTGATAAGTAGCAGTAAAATTATAAATTTGTGTTATTATCGCTATAACTCGAAAACAAATGAAAATCGAATAACAACATATGAGTTGTTATTTTTACTTATTTTTACGTATATTATACAGTCTTAAAGTTTGGCGCGTTCCTCCCCACTCACCCTGTATAAAAAACAAATTTAAAAATAAATTATTTCTCGAAATATATCACATCAACAAGAACACAAAGTCAATTAATAATAAGACAGACACATGCAAGTTAAGCGACATGTATTGTAATATTTTACAATTCTGAAAAATTAAAAATATTTAACATCTGTAACAATGGTACAGCATAACAATGTTATTTTAGTATCTTATTGTTAGTTTATTTGTAGTGTGTTCCTGATGGAGTTGAAAAAATTTAAGAATCAATGAAATATTGAACTCCAGAAATAGTTTTAATTTATATATATATATATATATATATATATATATATTATATATATATATATATAGTATAATTGTTTAAATATAAATATCTGTCTGAATTTAGATGTAAAATTAACATTCTCTCTTCTAATGTTTGCTTTTAGTCTACAAACGAAGACGAACTGGAAGCTGCCCTCGATACTGCATTAACTATTGGGTACCGGCATATAGACACGGCGGCTGTCTACCGTAACGAAAAATGTATCGGAAAAGTTTTACGGAAATGGTTTGATGCTGGAAAGTTAAAAAGGGAAGATGTATTTATTACTACTAAGCTTGGTCCTGAACAAACTCATCCAGATTTAGTTGAATCGGCATTAAAGGACTCCTTAGAAAAGTTACAATTGGAATATGTAGATCTTTATCTTGTGCATTTTCCTATGCACATGAAATTAGTCGATCCTCTTAAACCGTGGGACATGTTGGATACAGATTATCTTGATGTTTGGAAGGTAAGCTTAAAATTTACTAATTTAAATGTAAATAAAATCGCTTTTGATATTATTCTTAATATTATTTTTTATTTATTAGTTTGATCAAACTACTTGTTTCTTTTCTCTTTTCGAAACGGTTCCTAGCCATATTTTATGACAATAGTATTTTAACTTGTTAATTAAAATTATAAATTGGGGTATCCCGGATTCGTGAATAAAGTAAGTGCCTTCTATTGGCGAGATACGGGCAACAATGCATTGGCTTATGGGGCAGTCCTTATATTGAACTAGTTCGTGTTCCCTTCAATGATAAACACTGGCAGGACCCTGGTCTTCCTGACCTTTCGGCATACGACCTTTAGCGAAACCACATACCCCTACGAGTCCGCCACCATTATGAGGAAGGCGCGTTGCACTAACTATCGCGGAGCCTCTACCTTCCCCGTAGTACCTGTGTTGCCTTACGAACACCCGTCCGTTATCACCCCGGGGCGAAAAGGTGAGCGCAGGTAGAGGAACTCGAACGAGCTCTCCTCTACCACTCTTTAATCTTTAAGGTGGGTATGTGCCGAGACCCGGCGCCCCTAATAGGGAAGAGGTGGTTACGGGCTTAGCTCGTTCAACGTCACCTGGTTCTGTGGAAGGAGAGTAGAATGGTCCCACGAGAGTCTCGGATACTACGAGTGTAGAACGATAACCGTGACGTCGAGGCACCCCGAGTGCGTTTCTACAAACCCGACACCTCAAGCGACGGCTCTCCACCTCTTAATTCCTTCCCATTAGTCGCCTCTTATGGCAGGAAGGGATATATTGGCCTCGGCCGTATTCTTATCTCCATGAGCCGAACGGAGGGGCAGTCCTTACAGTGGGGAGCCTGGCTTATACAGAAAAACGCAAGAGAGTGCACTTTCGTTGCATTGGTGGTGTGTTAGCTAAATCATGCAGGCTATGATGCTAAAAGAAAGGGCATTCAGGCATCAAACGTCCAAAAAACTGTTTAGGCCATAACAATGAAAAAACCTTTTTCAATATAATAAAAATTATACTGAAATAATGGCATCTCCCGAGGTAAAATATTCCGGAAGAAAACTGAGAATCAGTTCGGATTTTCGAGTGAGTAATATTATAGAGGGAATACCTAATTACTAGTTAGAACAATTAGGATAGTGTCTTGAAATCTTATAAGTCTTACAGGTAAGAGTGTGGAGTTATTAGATGCGTCAAAAAGAACTAAGTGAAGAAGACAAATTGTGGTATGTAGGAAAAAATAACACTAGGAATGGAGTTCATATAATTGCTGATAGTAAAATGAAACATAATGTAGTAGAAGCTAAGAAGTTTAACAAAACTTCTTCGTAACAAGAGTATTACGCTAAATTCAAAGAAATTTGTACTTGTTAAATAAGTACTGAATGTTATGTGTGTGTAAATGCTATCCAATTAGGGCTGGATGAGAATGAAAAAAAGCTTTTTGCAATTAATTAAGAGGCATACTAATATATTCCCTTAGAAAAAGCTATAATAGGAGGTGATTTTAATGCACATTTGATCAAATCCAAGACAGGATATAAAGCAATACATAAACAACTTTGCTTTGCAAATAAAAATGAAGCTGGAGATGATATGCTTGAATTAGCAACAGCATTAGATATGACGATTTTTTTTACAATTAAGGCGCATCAGCCCATTGGTTATTAGCGGCGCTCGGTATTACAATTTTTTACATTTTTGGATACTTATACTTATATATATATATATATATATATATATATATATATATATATATATATATAATATATACTAATATATACTGATTTTGACATACATAGAGTTTTACATACATAAATCTGAATTAAACTAAGTACATTGGTTAATAAAATCATTGACTATTACATATTTATTTGTAAATGCACTGATGTTTATATTTGGTTGTATATTCCTACTGATTTTAGAAAACTTTAAACTGACGAATAGATACAGTTTTCTCCTAGACACTCGTGTAGCGTTGTTGGTAGGTTATACTTGTTCCTCTAATTTGAATACGCAGGGCATTCGATTAAGCAATATTGGACACTTAAACTGTTAAAACACTTACCGCACATTGGATGAACACTTCCTGTAATATGGTACTCATGTGTTAAGCGTGTATGTCCTAATATCAGTCTGTTTATTATAGTTTGGTCTTTTTTGTTGCTACACTTGCTTCTTCCGTCTTGTAACTGTTGTTTTATGGCTCGTAGTTTTTGTTGAGATTGATTCCATTCTTAAAGCCACCGTTCTTTTAATGTGGAGTTAATCAGGTAATGAAAATCTTTCTTATAGGTAGGTTCTGTCAAGTATTCATTATTAACTGAAATTTGGCGGAAGCATCTACTCTTTCATTACCATGTATACATGTATATTGTATATGTGACGGAATCCACATAAAATTTGCAATCACATTGTTTTTCTGAAGTTGGTACAAATGGTTCTTTATCAATCGCAACAATGGATGAGTTGGGTAAATGGTGCCCAAGCTACTCATAGAACTTAAGGAATACGTCATTATTAGACGCCTGTCTAGGTTGTCGTTCAGTGCATATTCTAACGCTTTGTAGATTGCGAGTAGTTCTCCTATATACACTGTGCTAAAATTTGAGATTTTGTATGAAGCAGTGTAGTCGTTGTGTGTGAGGGCACATTCCACTCCTTTTTGTTTAATCACAGAGGAAGCATTAAGTTGATTACTAGTTTTTGTTAAATTCAAGTCTAGGAAGGGTTTTCTGACCATCCAAGGGGGAGCGGTTAGAACGGTGTTTGATATATTTTAGGGAAGACAATATTATTACTGGTCATTTATCTATTAAGTCTTTCATAAAAAGGGGGTTTAGATCTTTTTTTGTTAAGATATGTTAAGTGAAAATGAGAAGCAGGATATTGTCTTCTTAATTCCAGACGCATTTCTCCTACTAAACATAGTAAGCTATCTGTAGGTGTGGTACAAAAAGCTGCTAAGGCTATTCCTATAACAGCATTTGGGATTGTTTGCGACTCTTAAACGTGATTAACTGGCAGACCCATACACTATTAAATCGTCTTCTTCTTTAGGTACCATCTCCTCTAAGGAGGTTGGTAATCATCACAGCTATTTTCACTTTTGAGATTGCAGCTCTGAACAAGTCGACGGAACTGCAATTATACCACTTTCTCAGATTGTTGAGCCAAGAGATGCGTCTTCTTCCAATACTTCTTTTTCTCTGTATTTTTCCCTGCATTATGGTTTGTAGTAACACATATTTATCCCCTCTCATAACGTGGCCGAGATACTGTAACTTTCTTATCTTAATCGTATTTATTATGATTTCCATTTCCTTTGTCATCTTTCTGAGGACCTCAACATGTGTTATTCGGTCAACATTATTATTGAATCGTAATCGACTTTAAATCTAATAAGGCTTGTATATACTGTCAATAGGATATCTTGATCACATCCCCAATATTTAGTAGATAGGACTTTCATTCCTGATTTCATTGACCATTTTTCTAATACAGAAATAGTATCTTGTAAGGTTTGTTTAATTAGTTCTATGCTTCTTTCTTTACAATAAATTATAAGATTATCTACATAGTTTACTCTTTACTGGGAAAATATCATTTTCCATAATACTGTTAATATGAATAATGAATATAAGGACTGCAAGATAACATTTAGTGAGGCAGTTAGTCAACAACTTAAGTCGTTTCTGATGGATATTGAAGTAAAAAGAAAAATTAAACCAAAATATCGTAGAGGGCCACAAAAAAATCGGATGATGGATGTTAAAAGATGAAAAAGAAGATCTACTTAGGGCACGAATAGTAGAAAGAATATATTGGAATATAAAAGGTAGTCGTAATATAATTTGGAGAAAGATACCCTTACGTAAAATGTTTGATTTGCTGAACGATACATTTCTGAGATATTTTACATCAGGTATGATCGTCGTAATAGCCGAAATGTTATCTTTACTTCACGGCAGGTGTCCTTCAAAGTTTTCATGAAAGAAAACCCAGGTCAAAATATGGTGTTCTTATAAGAATACTTTCAGATTGTTCAACTCTTTACGTTTTTGTGTATGTGGGTGTATGCAGGAAAATATAAAGGCAACACACCAGCATCTAGGAGTCCACAGGAAATAGTAAAAAGTTTGCTGTCTCGGATTGAAAACTCTGGACGTAACGTAACGACGGATAGATATTACACTTCTATGGAGCTTGCAGAAGATCTCTACAAAGACTTTGGTCTGACTTTGGTTAGCACTCTCCAACAAAATCGCAGGCATATACCGGATGTACTTAAGAAAACGAAAGCAAGGTAATTGTATTCAAGTATGTTTGAATTTTCAGATTCAATGTCAAGACATGTAACATGTCAAAAGCCTTCAAAGATACTTCTCTTTTTATCAACCCAGCATTCTGTTGATGTTGTAAGCGGTGAATACAAAAATAAGTCAGAAATAAATGTTTTCTATAATGAGACTAAAGGAGGTGTTGATGCTTTAGCAGATGGCGAAAAAATTTACGTCGAAGTAGACGCGAAGTTTTCTTACTTTTTTTCACGTTATTGGATATTGCAGCCATTAATACTTACGCTCTACTTGTTCTCCATTTTACAAATTAGAATTATGATAAGAGCAATCGTCGTCGTTTGCTTCCATAAGAATTAGAACGTGCCCTAGCACTACCTCATATTGAAATAAGAGCTGCAAATTTAAATGGATTTCAATATTTTGTACTGCATACCATGGAAAATATAGTCGAACGCAAATTTGCCAAGTTGTAACCTCAAAACAACCACAAATACCAACATGGAAAGGGATGTTGCTATTTATATTGAAAATTAGCAAAATCTAAAAGGGAAAAGACCCATAAGTTGGCAAAAATAACCATAGTTTGTTTAAAATGTCAGAGGTATCTATTAGGTAAGCACAGCAAAAGTCAAATGTTTGTGTATCCTACGATGATACCAATTTCACTGAAGCCGAAGACTTCGGGAAAATTATAAGTTCTGATCTTTTTAACTATTTTATTAACCTCTAATCTACGAAGTATTTATACTATATTTATATATTATAATAGGAAAAGAATATCAGAGAAGATCGCTGGGAATAAAATATTAGAAAACGATAACATCGAGGAAAGCTGGGAAAAACTAAAAAATAACATTATTAACGCAGCAAGAGAATCATTTCTGGAGAGAAAAGTAACAAATACTAACATATCAAAAAAGAAAACACCATAGTTTAGAGAGGAAGTGAAGACAAAATGTGAAGAAGAGAAGAAAGCCTTGTTACAATACAGCACACAACAAATACAACAGACATACAACCACTATAAACAAATCCGAAATGAAACAAATACTTTAGTTAGACAAATAAAAAAAGGAGTGCAAAAAAAATCATTAAAATACAACAAACCGGCACATCTATGTTTCGTGGACCTTAAGAAGGTATTAGACCATGTCAAATTAAAAAAAAGTTATCCACTTACTGTACGCAAGAGAGATACCTCTAGGAATAATCAAAACGATCGAAAATATTTACCAAAACAACACAATAAAAGTGAAACTAGAAGAAGAACTAACCGACCCTATTGAAGCTGGAAATGGAATAACACAAGACAGGGAGATTCCCTGGGTCCTCTATTGTTCAATTTGATGGACGAAATAATAAAAAAAGTAAGAACTACAAAGTCAAATCAAATGGAAGAAAAACAACTTCAAATAATTTGCTATACAGACGATGCAATACTACTCTCTTAAAGTGAAGATTATTTACAACGTATACTGCAAAAATTTTAATATAACCGCCAGAAAATTGAACATGTTAATTTCCCCAAAATTGACAAAATGCATGGTTACAACACCAAATTTACTAAGATATAAATTGGAGCTGGCAGGTCAGATAATAGAACAAGTAATGGAGTTTAAATATCTAGACATCACATGATATAGCTACGGAAAGCTCGAAACTGAAGTGGAAGATCAAGTAAATAGAGCAAACAGAGCCGCAGACTGCCTCAATGAAACAATATCGTGACAGAATATCGGAACAGAAAAGAAAGGTAGAATTTACAAAACAGTTATCAGACCAATAATGGCATACGCAGCAGAAACAAGACCTGACACAGAGAGAGGACAAAAAGGATGTTAGAAACAGCAGAGATGAAAACACTTGGAAAAATTGATGGTAAGACACTATGGGACAGAGCTAGAAGTACAGATTAACGACATAGATGAAAGGTGGAGAACATCAAGAACTCGTTAAGAAATAGAAAAGTAGAATCAGTAGGAAGACCACGAAAACGATGGAACAACATCTTACTAGAGGCACATTGGAAAACAGACAGTCTTGTCGATATAAAAAGAAGAAGAAGAAAATTAAAATCTAGAAATACTTTTTAATTTGTAAAAGTGTTATTTTTAAATAAATTCTAATAAAGAAGCACGTTTTTGATTATTATGTGTGTGGGTATTTATTGATCCTTCTTGGTCCTCGCTGTTTCTAATAAAAGGCTTAAAAAGCTAAATATTATTACTAGAATAGCTAGTTTATTACACAAGAAATGCGTTGTTCTTTTACAAAGGGAAAAGTGTAACTTTTTTCTTCTCTTCTGTCATCTTAAATTTAATAGATCTGCAAAAGTATGGAGAAATATAAGAAAAATTATAGGTACGATTAAAATATTAAGTTCTAGCGAAAATTGGTTCAAAGATCGTTTAGTGTATATTTTTTCCAATGTTCTTTCGAACATAATTAAATAATATTTACCACTTTTGAAAAAATCATAAATATGAATTTTCTGCTACACTGTATACATAAAATCTTTAAAATACATACAAAAAAACAAGAAATCAAATAATTACATTTAATTTCTAATTTAGTCTTGTTCTTTATTAATAGAAAATGGAAGAACAAGTTGATTGCAAACGGGCTCGAACTATAGGAACTTCTAACTTTAGCATTGAACAAATGGAGAGAATAATGAAAAACTCAAGAATAAAGCCAGCCAATACGCAAGTGGAACTTCAAGTCTACTTCCAACAAAAGGAATTACGAGAATATTGTCGGAAAAACAATATTGTCGTAGTTTCCTACTCTTCACTCGGATCTCCAGGAGCACCAGACTTCTTTAAAAAGATAGGAAGGTATTTTAAACCATTAAGTATGTTTTCTTAAACTCTAAATAGATTCTTAATCCAAAACTTTCGAGGAAAGTCTGTGTAAAAATTATTTTTTGCAAAGATAATATTAAATAATTAATAAACAATTTTAACTAATTATAATAAACTAACCAATAATCATTGCAAATTGATAAGATAAAAGTGATTATGGTTGGACAATCTTATTATGGATGACACAATGTAGAGTCAATCAAATTAAATATAAAGAAATCACTACACTAAACATTTGCCATGCTTAGGGAAACATGTCTGGCTGTATACTTAAACGGTAGGGGAATCCCATAAGGTGATGAAGTCAAATCTGTAGATATTTATTTGGGCGAAAAATTAAACTTAAGAAGGCATATATTTACTAAGCGAAAACAACTGGGTCATAAGTTGAGGAACATGTATTGGTTGTTAAGAAGAAAATCAAAACTATCGACCAAAAATAAAAATAAAATATTAATCTACAAATCCATCCTGAAATCAATTTGGACTTATGGACTAGAATTATGAGGAACTGCCGCACATTTCAATATTGAAATAATATGAAGATTTCAATCCAAAATATTAACAACAATATTATAAATTCCATGGTTCATAACCAATGAAACCTCCATCAATACACATGGACGTTGTCAGGATTATTTTCAGGGGGTTGCATCTGCTTTTCAGGGGGGTGAATATATAAAATATAAAACTATACATGTGTAGCTATGACTCTGTTTCCAGGCAGGAGAGTGCAATTGTTACCCCTTACACTCCGCTGCAAGCGCCCATGAACATACGTTAAAGATTATATCAAAAAGTGCGAAAAAAACATATAGAGAAAGTGCATCTGAATGTGTACTCAAAAAGTTTAGTGAATTGACCGCATACAATTCGAAAATTAAAACGAAAAGTTCGGTTAGAGTTAATTGATTAATACTAAATGTATGTGTATTATGTATAAATAGGTGTCAAAGATAGTTAATAGGGTTTAAAAAAAGGGTGAATCACTGGATGTCTCTCTGCATGTCAAAATTCTGTCATTGTTAGTTCTATTACTTATTGTCTATTACTTAGGTACGTAAATATTTAAGTTAAGATTGTATAGATAGATTGTAATAAAGGTGGGGATAATAAATAAATAAATAAATAAGTAGAAGTAAAATAACTTTGGAACAAATAAAATCGCAGTGCAAAAAAAGTAACCAAAAGAAGAGGGTTATAATACTTTCATAGTTTTAAATGAAAAATTTAAAATCTATAAATATACGGCAATGCTGACAAAAAAAAAATAAACTGGGAAATTAATCGACCACCACAGAAAGAAAATAAAGCATTTGAATCAAATTATAGTTCTAAAGAAGTATTTATGGCGTTAAAGGAGACAGTAATAAAATGACAGTAGCTTTGTTTAATAGAATTATTTTGCGTCAAATGCCAGACGAATTGTAAAGCGGTATCATACTGTCGGTGTACAAGAACAAATGAGATGTTCAATAATGTACAAACTATAGGCTTGTAATTAAAAAAGTAAAGTTTGTGTAAACTTCTGGCTAAGGTCTAGTGTTAGAGTTTAGAGGTAGCGCAAGCACCCCTAACATGACTTAACGACTACTTAAGTAGCCGTGACCGACGGCTTTACGTGCCCTCCGAAACACGGTGACAGCTCAGTTAAATTAGAAATTAACGTAAAATTTGTTGTGTCCGTAGCCACTGAGCTACGGCTGCCACTGCTTGTAATTGTAACTACAGGATTGTCAAAACTTTTTAATACAAAATGTCCAAAAACACCCATTATATTAAAACAATTTGTAAATATTTAAGACAAAAAAAAATTAGGACTAAAAAATATATCAGTCCTGACGTATTTTATTATAAGTCAACAATCTTCTATTTTTGCGTTTATTTATTGTGCGCCTTTTACTGTAAAGAATAGGTATAATTTTTTAATAATCATTTGTGTTAATACTGTTTCAGAACGGTGCCTGTTCCAAATATTCTGGGAGATCCGGTAGTATGCGCTGTTGCTAAGAAACACAAAAGAACACCCTCACAAATTATTCTGAGTTATTTAACTCAAAATGACATTGTAGTAATTCCTAAAACCGTAAAACCAGATAGACTTCAAGAAAACTTTGATATTTTGGATATCATTTTGGATTCAGACGATTTAACCGCTTTAGAAAAATTGGACAAAGGTACAGCGGGAAGAATATTTGATATGTCACATATTAATCCAAAGTAAGCAATTTTTATTAATACAGTAAACTTTATAATATTAGAGATATAAATCGTAATTTAAAGTTTGAATAATAGAAAAAATTTTTAGAAATACGAGGCAAGCTTCGTTTTGCCTGTCAAACAATACATGTTTCTATAAGCGGTCATAAGAATTGCTTAATACTTTACATGTATTAATGCTAAACAGCAGTACGTTTAACTCTTCGTTGGTTATTTATTTTTAATTTAGTCGAATATATTTTAAAAAACAGACAATAATTCTCAAAAAAAAAATTTCAATATTTCTAAAATAACATTTTCGGGTGGACCATATGCAGGACCATTATGCAAGTAGTAATAGTTCTTGTGAATGTCTAACTAAAAAAAAATGGTGTTTCTTTCTGAAAAATTATTTAAATGACTTAATGTTACTTTTGTGGTATTTTTAAAAACAATCTTTAGTTTTCCCAAAGCGTAATGCTACATCACAAATGCTACACGCTCAATGAGATCTCATGGGTTTGGCTTTTGTACTCCAAAATGTACATCTTCTACGAACTGATCTAACTTTTGTTTATTTTTTTCTTCTGATGGTGAAAAGTTTCTAAACACCGTACCAGGTTAACCTATTCCTACAGATGGCCGGCGTGTGTTAGATACATCGTAGGGTAGTACATCCGAACCACATCCCTCCTATAAGAAGATTTTGCAAACGGATGCCTTTCTTTTATCCTATCTATCAACTAAAACCACACTGTTCCACTTGTGTGCAGTTCCTTACTTTCTGTCATCTTCGCGATCATCTCTCTCATAGTTACAGGGTTCATACCTATTTTTCTATACATTCTGTTTCTCTTCACTGTCCATCTATTACACTCCAGGATTGTATCAGTAACAGTGTCGTAATATTCGCAGTCTATATCTGTCTTTCTGAACCTATGAAGATATGCCTTAAAACACCCGTATCCTGTGTGCACTTGCGTCAGGAAGTAATCTAGTTGCCTGGATTCACCCAATCTCTTAGGCTTGGGATCAGCAGCTTAGACCACTGAACAACATCTTTCCTTGCTACCATCTTTGATTTATCTTTCCCTTTGTTCTTTTCTTATAGGGATGTCTCGTTTTTGCTGATAACACATGCAAAGAAACGCAACTTGTGATAGTCCACAAGACTGTCACAAATACAGTCCTGTAGCTGTAGGCTTTTCAAGATCTATAAATATTAAATGTAGCTCTCTTTTCTTCTCGACTTATTTCTCTATCAACTGCCTTAAGGCAAACAAGACATCCGCTGTCCTCCTTCGTAGTATAAACCCAAACTCTACTTTTCCTATCGATGTCTCTCTCCTTAACCATCGCTCTATAGTTCTGTTCCAAATTTTCATTGTAAGCTTCTTCTTAGAATGCCGTCTCCCTACGGAGGTTGGCAATCATAATGGCTATTTTTATTTTAGAACTTGCTGCTCTAAATAAATCAATCGATCTGCATTGATACTAATTACGTAGATTCTTTAACCATGAGTAATGCCTTCGGCCAACAGATCTTCTTCCTTGAATCTTTCCCTGTATTATGAGTCCCAAAATTTCATATTTTGGTCCCCTCATCACGTGGCCTAGGTATTCCAGTTTTCTAGTTTGTATACTGGTGATTAGTTCTGTTTCTTTACCAACCCTCTCCAGGACTTCTTTATTTGTAATTCTATCAGTCCATGATATTTTCAATAGAGTTCGAAGGCGTCGATTCTTTTTAAATTGCATTTATTTATTGTCCAAGTTTCAGCTCCTTATAAAATATATAACAGCGAATGGTACGTAGTCTGATCTCCAAATTTAGATTTTTGCACGTTAGGAATGGCTTCATTCGTATAAATGCTGATCTGGCAATCTCTATTCGCCTGTTTATTTCTACAGTATGATCATTGCTTTCATTGATCAAAGTTCCCACGTACTGATATTTTTCTACTTGCTCTATCACGTTACCATTGATTGTTAATAGGTGATGTATATTTTGTGGTCTTTTTGTAATTAGCATGTACTTCGTTTTTTTTTAGCGTTTATTTTATCCTTATTGCTCTATAGGTTTTACAGTCCTGAATGTACCCTTTATCTTTATACAATGATACCATCACTCTCTCTCTCTCTCTGCATGTATTGGACATCCTTTCTACCTCATATATTCTACTCATTATTTGCCATAAAATATCAACCCCATCCTCTCCTAGAACCTTCCAAACTTCCACAGGTATTCCGTCAGATCTACTGTATTACCATTCTTCATCCTATTTAACGTCTCGACAACTTCATCTCTCGCTATCCTCAATATTACATTCTCGTTTGGGATCCCAGATCCTCTGTCACTCCTCTGATGTTCTTTACTTAGCAAATTTCTAAAGTACCCATATCATCTTTGCTTTATTATAACATCGGTTCTTAAGGCTCTTTCATTCGCACTCTTAATCTGTTGCACGTGGGCCGTCCTTTGATGACATTTCCCTTCCTTTAGCAATACTTTATGACCTTTTCATCCCCTCGGGTGTTTCCAACTATTCATACAGCTGTACAGACAATCTTTTCTTAGCAGTAGCTACAGCGCGCTTTGCTACCTTGTTTATGTCCTTATCTTCCTCTCTTTTAGATATTTCATATATCTTTTTTCTAACCTATCTTCTATCTAACCTTCTGTTTAACCTTCATTATTTAAGCACCAAGTTTCTTTGTCTTTGGGAGGCCCTTTACCATGGGTAGAGGGTCACCTAGCACTTCCTCTTCCACTAGTATCGCAACTTTAGTGTTGGCTTCCCACCAGTCATTTACAGTATCTTTTTAATCAAACTCTTTCAGCACTCTACTCTAAAAGATTATTGCCAAATCCTTATCCTTTAACTTTTACCACTTTACTTTCTGGTGTCCTAATTGCTTTCACTATCACCGGTCGATGTTGACTGGCTACATACTCACCCTTTATCACTTTACATTTAGTAACCCCTTTTAGCTGATTTCTTCTACACAGCACAAAATCTATCTGACATTCTTTTCCCCACTACTATAGGTATTAATGTCTTGAGTCTTCAGTTTCCATAAAGAACGTATTAACTATATCTCGAAACCTCCATGAATTCTTTCTATTTCCGCTCTTTCTCTACCATTAAAATTCCATTAAAATCACCTCCAATAAAACACTTTTCGTGTACAGAAATCTCGAGCATCTCGCAATCGAAGGCTCTCCGAAATTCTTCCTTTTCCTGTTCTTCACACCCTACCCTTCTGTTTTCAGTTGGACACTCATTATTTTTATCACTTCTTTAGGTTAACCTTACAAGATGTTCCTTTAATTTGTTGTTAACAATAATACCTACAATAATTTATTTTTGGCGTGACTGCTCGAACTACTATATATTAACTTGCATCCATCTCCAAGATCTCTCGACTTTTTGGCTTTCTAACAAGTTTTCTGCACACAAAGTACATCAATCCTTCTTCTCTGCATGAAATCAACGAGTTCTCTGTCTTAACCTATCATGCTTCTTTGGCCTCTTCCGTCCTCTAAGAGGAAGCCATATCTCACTTTTCGCAAGGATCAGACGAAGCCGCAACTGCGCATCGCTTACGAGGAATGCCCAAGCCTCTAAACTGTTTTCTATATTTCTTCTTTTCATAGTTTTAGTAATGTTTTACTGCGGGATGCCCTTCTTGACGCAAACCCTTCTCTATTATAAGGTCTTGGGACAGGCACTGATAGTTGCAGAGCTACTTTACTCATCCAGCAACTAGCGGAATTCTTTTAATAGACAGCCTCGTACCTACTCTTTAAATCTCATTATAATTATGTAATTTTAATTATGCACAATAAATATAAAACGAAACACTGTAGGTATGTTTAATATCGTAATTTTCCTTTTCAGGATAAAGGAGCACGTCCACTACCCCTTTGAAAAATAAAGAAAATCACAGCTTGTAATTGTTTGTTATGTATAGTAAACTATTTATAAGTAAATAAATAAAGTTCTTAACGTTAGTTTGTTTACAATTTTTACAATTGTTCACTTGTAGCCACAAAAGTCCTCTATGAGCATCACCCAGACATACGCCTCCTACTGTATTACTTTTTTTTGTGTGTGTTTTGGCTTGGACAATATTGTCATTCAGCCAGTCTCAGTCAAGATAAGTTTATTAATGTAGTGTGTGTGTGTGTGTGTGTGTGTGTGTGTGTGTGTGTGTGTGTGTGTGCTTGATACTTAGCAAAGTCGACGTCATTGTCTTTGCTAAGAGACGCTAATTGTATCCGAACGTCTGCGGTCCCTCCGGTGAGTACCGATCACACAAGAATAGAAATTATTTTCATTTATTAATTTTTTTAATAAACGAAAATTTCCACCCAGGTGAGATTCGAACTCACGACCTTTAGGTTTAAAGGCAGGCGCTCTTACCACTGAGCCACAGAGGGGGTTACTGTATTACTTATCCATTGGTAGTCTTGATCTTCTCTACTCTACTCGATCTACTCGCATATTTCAATTTAAAGTCAAATATTCATCTATCCATTATGTATTTCATACTTCCACTTACACGTTTGAAATTTTTATTTTTCTAATTAGCTTGTGTCTTAAATCATCTTCTTCTTCAAGTAACGTCTCCTTCAGTGGAGATTGGCAACCATTGTGGCGAACTGTGTGTGGTTTTCTGTTATTTTCAGAAGTGTATGTTCATTGAATCCTGTCCAATTAAATATGCTTAATTAGAACCACTGCCCAAGTCTTCTGCGACCCACTATTTTTGATAAGTTTTGGTACCTCGTATATCTGGTATCAAAGTATATGTTCTAAGGATGCAGTGTTGCTCGTCTTGATTAATGTTAACAGGTCTGTATTTTTTGCTATTTTTTTAAAACTTCAAAGGTGAAGCAGTTTTTCAACAAGAATTGGCTCTATGGCCAAAAACCATGATAAAAGGTTGAAAGAAAAAAACATACCGCAAATTGAATGACCAAGAATTTTACCGGAACTGAATACAATTAAGGATGTGTTAGCCATAAAACATAAATTTCGTAAAATAGGTTGCACAACAAAAACAAAACTGAGTTCAGATATGGTTTCAAACTCAATCAATATCAGAAAATTGTAAAAAATACTTGTTGACTATGTCAAAATGTGTTAAAGAATTTATTAAGGCCAAGAATGGGGGTGCAAATCCACAGGACTTTAGGTCAACAACCAATGCTTTTTGTTTCTCAGCAGGATAAGTAGCCTGACCCGTGTGGAGTAGATATAGACACACCTAACAAGGTACCAGTACATAATACGAAACATCTAGAATAGCTACCGGCTATATTTTGTATCACCAGAAGACCGTAGATGTGTAGAACCAGTGAGCTTAAATCAAGAAAAAGATTTATGAGAAGTGTTAGCATTCTTCTTCTTCAAGTCCCCTTTCCACTACGGAGTTTGGCAATCATCATTGCTATTCGTATCTTGGAAGCTGTTGCTCTAAATAATCGGTTAGATGTGCACTGGAACCAGTCTCTTAAATTGCGCTGCCAAGATATACGTCGTCTCCCCACGCTTCGATTACCCTGAATCTTTCCTTGGATAATTAACTGGAGCAATCGGTACTTTTTCCCTCTCATCACATGACCAAGATATTCCAACTTTCTTCTCTTGATGGTGATCAACAGCTCCCGTTCTTTGTTCATTCTTCGAAGAACTAATTTTGTCTGTCCAAGGTATTTTCAAAATTCTTCTATATATCCGCATTTCGAAAGCCTCTAGTTTATCGGTATTGCCCTTGTTTAAAGTCCAAGTCTTAACTCCGTACAGCAGTATCGAAAAGATGTAGCATCTAACCAATCTCATTTTCAGGTTTAAGTTAATGTCATAACTTCCCAGAATGTCCTTCATATTAATAAAAGCCGCTTAAGCCTTTCCAATTCTAGTTTTTATTTCTTCTGTGATGTCATTGTTGTTATTAACACTTGTTCCCAAATAGTTATATTTGTGCACCCGTTCGATTTCGTTATTGTGAATGTACAGGTTTGCATTCAATCTTTGTTTTTTTGAAATAATCATGAATTTTGGTCATCTTGACATTCATTGTTAACCCTTTCTCTTCACTAGTTGTGACTACCGTATCATCTGCGTATCTAATATTATTAATTGGTTGGCCGTTAACTTTTCTCACAATCGCTTCTTCCTCCAATGCTTTCTTCATAATTTCTTCCGAATAGAGATTAAATAGCATTGGTGACAGCACAGCCTTGTCTAACTCCTTTTTTAATTTGAATTTCATTTGTTGTGCTATTTTCGATGCGTGCGAAATTACTTATGATTATAATACAGAGCAGATATTATTTTTATACCGCGAGTGTCTAACTGGTTAGCTTTCAAGGTCTCTAAAAGTTGGTCATGCTTGACGTTATCAACGTTAGCATTGACCTCCCCGAATTGTTCCTATACCCAGAGCTACCTTAAGAAATGCACCTGGACTGGAGAACGTAGCGAACACTAAGCTGCATACGCATCGGCGTTGTCTATGTAAAACAGAACCTCATTAAGTGTGATATAAACACAGAAAACGACGCACTCTGTAAATGTCGGGAAACACAGAATGTGGATCGCCTAAGAATATGCAGACTTTTCTATCACAGTGCACCGTCGATGATTTATGGCTCGCAAATACAAAAGCAGTAAGTAATAAAGGAATAAAGCCAATAAAGGAATTCCTATTAAAACAATTTAAATTGTTTGCTCTTCTCTTTCCTTATAATCATCTTATTAATTTCGTATTATCAGTTTTATTAAGAAACATTAATTTGCAGAATGATCATAATTATCTCATAGAGAGAGTTGGTAGATGTGTTTATGACTGGACCACATTTTAACTTTTTTACTTACCGGTATATCACTGAAAATTCAAAAAAAAAATCTTAGAATGTGCTGTTTTATATATTTCGTATTGGATGAAACTGATTTTAATAAAGATTTGATTGAAATGAGGTTGAATGTTCGAATAAATGAACTTTGAAAATAAGGCTATTATCGAGCACAAGTTAATTAAATCTAGCCCAAGTACTTTCGCTTAAAATAGCATCTTCAGGGGCATTTCGTCAAAATGTAAACTATCCGGCAAGCGTAGAATGTGGAAACAATAATAAAGACATAAAATTGTACAAAACACTACACTAAAACGAGGACAAACAGTTTAAAATTACTTAAAGATTCTACGCTACATTCTCTGTCAGTATCTGGAGGGATAATCCCTCCGATATCCTCCAGATTATCCTCTGATTATCCTCTGATTATCCCTCCAGATACTGACAGAGAATGTAGCGTAGAATCTTTAAGTAATTTTAAACTGTTTGTCCTCGTTTTAGTGTAGTGTTTTGTACAATTTTATGTCTTTATTATTGTTTCCACATTCTACGCTTGCCGGATAGTTTACATTTTGACGAAATGCCCCTGAAGATGCTATTTTAAGCGAAAGTACTTGGGCTAGATTTAATTAACTTGTGCTCGATAATAGCCTTATTTTCAAAGTTAATAAAGATTTGTTTAATGCATCTTTAAATTCAATGTAAGTGACACTTATGTACATCTCTTCTTCGTGAATTTAGCGTCTTCTGCGGCTGATCATCTTGGCTATTTGCATTATCGAAACTTCTGCACGGAATAATTCAACCAATGTCATTTCAAATTATATATTTCACATGACGCCTAATGTTAATTTCACAAAAGCGTTGGATTCTGGAACACTACAGAGAAACTACGCAATCTTCAACAAATTTGGTTCTCTTTATTTTTGGAAAAAACTGCACCGCATATTATTGGAGTTGCCTTTAATTGAAGAAAAATCACTTGAAAGTGAAGTCAGTTTTTCATAAAAATATTCAGGTGGAGTGTTCTCCTTTAATGAATACGATGTTCGATTCTATGGTAAATATCATTTAATTCGACAATACGAAATTTTTTACTTTGTTGCTACCCGTTGGTGTAAATAATGATGCTGAGAAATGGTTACAGCACTTTCACAGTTTATCTACTTTTTTGACGCAACGAAATTGCTTAAGGCTTTTAGGTCGTTATAAGCTAGAGTAACCCAATTTTTACACAATTTATAGTAGACCTTTATCATCTTTATATCGTTTTCGTCACACTTATTTATCCAAGAACATCGTGATTATCAGTTAATATTATATAGCAATTTCTTGGGTGGAGTTTCACTGCTGGTAGTTGCTTCTTCGTCTTCTACTTTGACATACACACAATCACGACAGCAACCCTACTCTTAGACGAAACAACTAAAGGATTATTTTTTTGAATCATCTCCATTTTGTTTCACATCTTACATCAATGAGAAAATATATATAATATCAATAGTTTTCACTGTTTTTGAAAGTCACATCAGAAGTTTAACTGTTTTATTATTACCAACATAAAAAGTTAATGACGGTTATGATATAAACAAAAATAAACTGAAGTATACAACCCTCACTTAACCAGTACATGTTTTTTTATTTCTCGTATACAATCAAGAATTTTACTAATGCCAGCATAAATCCTGATATAATAAAGACATTCAAAAGAATTGTTTTCGTTGCTGCTATTTAGATCGACTTTCTTTGAGCATAAATTTTACCTGGCATTTTTAAAGCGGATTTAACCATTTGGCGTACTTATACTTACATTATAAAAGGGCGTTCGTGTGCTTAAACTAATTGCGACACACAAGGCTATACAATGCATTCTTTTAACTTGATATAAAATTAGCCTCATTCAGGCGTATAAAAGTGCTCATTTATAATGTATTATGATCTTTATAAAAAACGGCTAATAGAAATTTTAAGATGTAAAAAAATAATTTATTTTGTTTAATTTTACTGAAAAAAGTTTGTTTCATCATTGTGAGTTATGAAAATTGGCAATTAAATCAAATAAATTGACAAGTCTGTGCAAGTGATTTATCCTGACAATTATAAAACCTTTAGCTAGGCACATAGAGACAGCGGTCAGGCGTTCTGAGTTC